AAGCATCAAGAGATGCAAAGAATACACAAAGTCATTATACCAAAAAGAATTGGTGGAATCTCAACAGGAGGTAGCATTTGATTAATTACGTATGGTACTGAAGGAAGAAGTCCAAGCTATACTGAAAGCTCTGGTGAAAACAAGCCTCCAGAAATTGACAGAATACTAACTGAGATGTTTTAAAAAATGGAGGCAGAGCTGGAAGTATATGCCAAGAAGTTTGGAAGTCAGCTATGTGGCCAACCAGTTGGAAGAGATCCATATTTATGCCCATTCTAAAGAAAGGTGATCTAACAGAATGCAGAAGTTACAAACAATATCATTAATATCGCATACAAATTTTGCTGAAGATAATTTAAAAACAGTTGCAGCTGTACATTGATAGGAAACTGCCAGAATTCCAAGCCAGATTCAGAAGAGGATTTGGAACAAGGGATGTCAGATGGAACTTGGTTGAAAGCAAAGAACACCAGAAAGACGTCTACCTCTGTTTTATTGACTAGGCAAAGGCATTCAGTTGTGTGGATTATAACAAATTATAGTTATCACACTTATTCATTGTGTATGCTGAGCAAATGATCTGAGAAGCTGGACAATATGAAGATGACTGTGGCATCAAGATTGAGGAAGGCTCATTAATAACCTGTGATATAATAACCTGTGATATACAGATGACACAACCTTGTTTGTTGAAAGCAAAGGGAACTTCAAGTATTTATTGATAAAGATCAAAGCAGATGTGACCGTCCAAAAATGCATGGTAGTTTTGGGGTTATCTGAGCAGGGCAGTCAGCTCTTTCCCTCCCAGAGAGGAAATGATGGTTGTGGCAGCTACACTGAATCCCTAAGTCAAGGTAGCCTGTGATCATAAACAATGCTGATGGAGGCAGGACAGTGGAATTATTAGAACCTAGACCAGATCACTTACCATCAAGTCAGTTCGGACTCATAGCAACCCCCTGAGAGCGGTGCTTCATAGGGTTTTCAATGGCTAGTTTTTCATAAGTAGATCACCAGGTCTTTCTTGTAAGGCATTCAGGGTGAACTCAAATCTCGAAGCTTTGGGTTAGCAGTTGAGTGTGTTAAGTGTTTGTACCACCCAAGAATCTCTACTTAGAAAAGCAGCTCCTCCAAGTCCCACACCCCACAACACACACATCAAATAACTGACTTTAATGCTAAAAGGAATGAACTGCAAGAATCCTAGAAAGCCAGAGAGAGTATTCAGGAAAGGCTGGAGAAGGACCATTCTGGCCAAGAGGGACATAGATTTGGGGGACGAGAGTAGGATTTGAAGCCTTACTCTTCAAGCCCGGGCAAGCTGTGACTGGGGTGACAGTGTGGACAGAGGCCGGATGGGCTGATCAGACAACCTTGGAGCCCATGGGCAGCAGTGGGAATGCACCTCCTCTCAAGAACAAGAGTTTGGGGGATGACAAGAGACCAAACACCATGAATAACAGAGCAGAGCTCTCCCGCCTCATAAAGCATGGATGTGCAGACCTTTTAAATACGGAGGAAGGGTGGGATGTAGTAGGAAATGGGGAACCTGTCCTGGACAAGCTGCCTTGTTGAATGGTGAGGGGTTTCCAGGATTGGTGGAGGACCCCAGTCTTCCACCCAGGCTGCCTTGGAAGAAGACCAGTAGAGCTCTCTTGGGTTGGGAGAAGCAGGAATTTCTCCAAACCCTAAAGCTCTTGGCAGGGCTTGCTTCGTTTATTCAGAGAGAGGCCACTCTTTGAATTTGGAAGACTGTGGGCTGGACTCAGAGGACTCAGCATGCACTCTGGCTCTCCTGCCCAACAACCGCATGAAGCTGGGTGGGCCTCCTGCCCTGCACTGTCTCTGTAGGCCAAATGCAGGTCACACCTGCTGGGTCCACTCAGCTCTCCACAGGTGATGAACTACACTGGGAGGCAGAGGTTGTTGTTAAGTGACATTGAGTCAGTTCCCACCCATAGTGACCCTGTGTACGGTTTCCAAGGAGCTGCTTGTGAGCTTCAACTGTTGACCTTGCAGTTCAAACTGACCTTGCAATCCAGTGCATTAACGTACAGTGCCACACCAGGACTCTGGCAGTAATATCTGCCAATCTGTCACCTCCCACCCTCTGCCCTGGGTGTTCTGCCTGGGCCTGCCCTTACTTACCTTCTTCTTGCTTCAGGGTGAGGTGTTCCTTAGTCCTCTCTTCCCAATTCTGATACAACTTCTGGAGGCTGTGCTTATTAGGTTCCTGCCTGCGGAGGACAGAGCAGCCCCCACCACTGCCCCGAGCCGGCCACCAAAGCTGGGAGCCAGGGGACAACCCCAGAGAGTCATTGGGAGGTCAGGGCAGTCCAAGAGTGACTAGAAAAGGGAGGCCTAAGGGAGGAGACACAGTAGAGGGAACATAGAGGAAGAGAGACACCATGGAGAAGTTAGAGGAAGGGGCTCAGAAAGAGGAAAAGAGACAGAAGCAGGAGGGAGAGATCAGGCAGTAGTTGGGAGACCCAGAGAAGAACATTGAGGGACAGGACAGGTGAAGAGCCAGGGACAGGAGTCTGGAAGAGCAAGACACTCTACTCAGGTGGGCCTGCCAGGGGAGGGTGAGTAAGTGGATGGGGGGCCTACCGTGGCTTGACACAACCCAGGTTCTTCTCACTGTCCTGGTACAAGGGTTCCGCCCTCTTCCAGGCCAGGTCCAGGTCTGGGGTTGGCAGCACTGGGCTGGGCACTGAAACCGGGACTAGAGCTCCCATAGGAGCAGACACTGGCCCAGGGGTGGGTGTCCGGGACCAGGACAGGCCCATGGGAGGAGCCAAGGTCGGGGTCTGAGCCAGGGTCAGAGGTGGACTTGGTTCTGAGCTGCTGACAGGGCCAGAGGCAGACATCTGAGTCAGGGTCCTAGGAGACTTCTTGGCTGAGAGTGCACTGGCCTTGGTAGCCCTCTGATGGTTAGCCTCCTTCTCCTCCACCTCCAGCAAGCACCTCATGAAGCCATGCCAGGGGTTCCCAAAGTTCAGGGGCCCAATGGCCACTAGGGACTCCTGAGGCTGCCTCTGCGCATGATCCAGCTCCCTCCTGGATCCAGTGTTCCTCACCTGGGGAGAGGGGAGTCAGAAGGCCTCTGGCCAGTCAGGCCATCACACAGAGCTTCTCTCTGCTATCCACAGTCCTGCCCCTTCCATTCTGAGCCCTGAAGGATGTACATGCCCCTAATCTTACACAAATCCCAGTCAGCTTCCCATCCTAGGCCCTCCCTATCACTGGTTCCTCAGCCACATTCCAGCTCTGTGAGCTAAGATCTCAAGCAAGTTAACCAAAGCATTCTCAGTCACACTACTTGGTTTCTTGCTGTCAGTACAACCTGCCATGCCTTGTTCACACCCACTGTCCCACGATAAGAAAGTAAGCTGCATGAGGACAGGGCCATGTCTGCCTTGTCTATGTATACTCAGCAACCAGCACATAGCAGGCACTCAATAAATTCCTACTCATTCAGTCAGCATTTCCAGTCATCTCCTTGTCTGTTCCCTTCTGGTCTGCTGTCCTTCTAATGATAGGGCTAAGTGGTCCAGGCCAAGCCACGCCACGTAGAGTCCAGGCCAGCCTCCAGATCAAAGATGTTACTCTTGAACACTCTCTTCCAGCAAGATGAGAGATTGACTTTCTAGACAAGATTCCTCCCTTCAACATATAACTATGCTGTAATATCTTTCTCCTATTGGAAAAACCAACTTCCTCTGACTGCAAACCCCTCCAGCAGCCATCCTAATTTGGTTCCCCTTTAGGCAAAACCCCTGGGCAGAGTTGACTTCAATTCTCTGTTGCCCATTCCAGTCTGGCCCTGCCCACCATTCCCCAAGCTGCTTTGGCCAAAGCCATAGCCAGGTCTCTGTCCTTATATCAGATGATCCATTCACCATTAAGTCCCCAGTCCCGCAACTGTCCCTGGTACACTGTTGTCAGTGAAGATGGGGGAGGGATTTCCCTCTGATTAGTCCCATTTTCTCAGTGGCATCTGAGAAGCAAGGGAACATGAGTAAATCACTTAGTGCAGGACTCAGCAAATGGCAGTGTGTGAAATAATTATAGTTGAGTATTCTGCAGTCCTGGGACCTCCTACTCGACTATGATGGCGGCCCCAGGGGATACAGGGCTCTCTCTGATTCGGCATGATCCGCCTCTGGGATGTGGATCTGTTTCAGAATTTTCCTGTCCCAGGGCTCAGCTCAGAGCTTTGCTCTCAGTAGACCCTCAGTATGTGGGCAATGATGATGCCAAGACCCTGGCATTTCCCCTCACTTCTCAGCTCCTCTCACAGCTGTATTCCTCCTTCCCCCTTCCCTGGGGTCCCTCCTGTCACCATATGTGCTGCCAGACTTCTCTCCCTGCAGCTCCTTTGTCACTGCCCTTGTTTTGAGTCTATAGTGGCTCTCAATGACCCTCAGACTAATACGCTCACACCTTCCTCAGTATGACTCCCCAAACCCCAATCCTTCTGCCCCTGCACCCTTCCTCTTCCTGATCCCCCTCCATATACCCCATCTCCACCATGACCCTACTTACTGGTTGAGGAACAGGTTTTGAGGCTGGCTGGGTCTCTGCAGTCACTCCCCTAAACAGGAGAACCCCCTTTAGTTCAGGGTTTGTGCCTTTTTCTGCCAACTTCTCTCAACACCTAGATTTCTCTTTACTCCACTTCACCAGCCTCACCCCCTTGGCTTTTGGATTTATGAGGGCCTCCTCAATGCCTCACATGCCCAGTGGGATCATGGCCCCAAAAGGAGAGGTTCATGTAACAAATAATTCTGTGAGTAGAGCTAGAAGGTTCTTTGGAGGGAATTTATTCTAATATCCCATTTTACATATGGATAAATTGAGGCCCAGAGAGGTCTGACTTGTTCCAGCTCCTAATCAGGTGAGTGGTAGTCAGAACTAGGATTTGTCTCGCGTGTAACTTAGCAGGAGATCCACCTGCTGGGAGCAGACGACAGGGCAGGGGTGGTATGAGGAGTGACTCACCCTCCTTTAGGTGTTTCAGGTTCTGGCTTCAATGGCTGGAAGGGGTTGTCCATCTCTTCCTCCAGGGTCACCACAGGCACGAGGGGCATTGTTTCCTGGGAACTGCCCTCATCATGCTCCCTTGGGACTGGCTGCGGCAGAGTGTCCTGTGGCCTGATGTGTGCAGTGCCCACCTCCTTGGGGGACTTGTCTCCCAGGGGTTGTCCACAGCTGTCCAAGGTACAACAAGGCTCTGTGGAATGTTTCATGTCTGACCCATTTGCCTCCTGGTGACCTAGGGCTAATTGACTCTCCAGGCCCTGCTGACGACAAGGACAGCAAGGATAAAGAGCCCCATCCTGGCTCCCAGGTGAACTGTAACATTCAGGCACATACACACATTGTTGTTGTTGTTAAGTACCGTCGGGTCGGTTCCGACTCATGGTGACCCTGTATAGGGTTTCCAAGGAGCAGCTGGTGCATTTGAATTCACACGAAGACTCCCATACATGCATGCATATAAACACATGTACACACTCACACAACACAACAGTGCATGTTTACACCTTCTCCTGTTTGACTCAGAATAGTCTGATATTTCTGCCTTTTCCTGTTGGGTCCAGATACTGCAAGCATCACCTTACTGACTTCTCCCAGCACCTCTAGAAGGTAGCAAAGTTACCTTCACATTGAGGAAATTGAGGCCTAGAAAATGTGTGGCTTACCCTAAGCCACAATTCACCTGCTTCTCTGTGGAGCTGGAAAGGGAGTCTGGAGAAAGTGGGGAAATCCCTTTTAATTTGGATTTCCCTGAAACTGTTTCAAAAAACAAGAACCCTTCATGTGCTCCCTTTTTAAAAAGTGAGATTTTCGGAGAACAAACAAGATGGCGGATC